TGGTGTGTTTACAATTATTTCCCAATACAATAAAGGTGAGGGCAAGTATTGAATGGTGATGAATATCATTGTCTGCTTACATCTGAGTGTCCCATTGATTTGAGCCAGTAGCTGTGTAGCCTCAGGCCACTGGGCCAGACACACTGTACACTCAACTGTTCTCCAAGTAAAAACAAAAGGTCAATTTAAATGATTGATAAGCTTTTTACGCTGGGTAATTGAGAGAGCATTACTTGCGCATTTTGCATGATGAATCAGGCTGACATTTTTGGTACAATTGAGTCATAAAACCCAACGTGAAAATATGTCCCTTTTTTCTGTCGCATTGCATATTGCGACCAAAGACAAATAGATATGACATATAGATAATGTCAACAAGCCAGGGCTGAATTGTGACCTGATGCCTATAATGTGAGTAAGCAAAACAGCCACTTCAAGTGTCATAAATAAAAATGAGTTATACTTATAATCTCTATTTATAAAGCACTCTACATTTTAGTTACAGTCGTATGCAAAAGTTTGAGCACCTCTGGTCAAAGCACGTTTTATTGGTTTTCTAAGTGAAAATAATTCAACACATTTAACACATTAACTCTACAGAGAACACATTTCTGCACATTCTTCTAGTGCAATCACGGTTTATATGAATTTAACATATTGAGAATAATGAAACAGAGTGTGATCCCGTGCAAAAGTTACAGCATATTTCATATTTTTGCAATATGTTAAACGTAGCAAATAAATGGAACTTGTGCACTAAAATTAGCAGCGAAACTGCATATTCAAGACTGTTCTCTGTAGAGGATGTGTTCACTTATTTTCACTTAGAAAATCAACAAAACATGTAATTTGTCCAGGGGTGTTCAGACTTTTGCATACGATTGTACAAAATCTCAAAGTACTTTACACAGGACAGAACCCTGGTGACCTTTGACCCTTATGTTAGCGATTAGTAGAATAAAAGACTACAGGAGTCACATAGAATGATGAAAATCAGTAATGTACCTCAAAAACTGTGTAACATTTTTTTTCATTGTCATGCAATCCAGGTAACAGATGTTGCTCATATTAAAGCTAACCAAAAGTGCCATTTGCTGTGTAATATTGTCTATGGACAGACTGTACACTGTGGTCTGAGTAATTTGTTGGAAGTGCAGTTCTTTCCTGATAGTTGGACAATGGAGAACACCATATTACAGAGCACTGATAGTATGAGAGCAATAAAATTTCCACCTGCAGTAATAAGATGCACAATTAATTCTCGCCTTTTCATCTCATTTGCATGTAGCTCTTTTTCTCCTTTCATGCTGTATGAGAGATCAGGGTCTTGGACTCTAACAAACTACATTAATTGTTTAACGTCTCTACATATCAGCACAATTATACTTGCCTCAGCAGTGCAGGCAAACGGGTGAATCTATTATTGATCTGAGAGCATAAGAGAAAAAGGAGATGGCTAGAGAAAGAAAGACAGAGAGGGAATCGAAAACAAATTGTGTCCTCTCTCAAGCAGATTGACTTCCTCTTTCCTTCCTCCCTTCCGCAGTTTATTTCATTCTTCAAAATGACAGCCGGACAAATATATAGTGCATCTTCTATATCTTTCTTCAAACCTCAGTTGAGACAGTGTGTGAAATGCAGTACAAAACACAGTGTATGATGTTTTATCTTATGATCTTGGTTTTTTTTTTAATTATGCACTGTTGTAACACATGCAGCCTGTTTCTCGGTGTTGTCATGTTGAAATAAGAAAGGTCATCCCTGAAAAAGACGGCGTCTAGAAGGCAGCATATGTTACTCCAGAATGTGTATATCTTTCAGTGTTAATGGTGCCTTCACAGAACAATTGGCACTAACACACTTTTGAACTGTATATGTACTTGAATTTAATTCTAAATTTATTCTTAAGATAAATTCTCAGCTATGTTGATGTATGGACACAAAGTCACACTTCATAAATCACTACTTAAAAGTGAATTTTCACTCATGATTATTTTAAGATCCAATCTGTGCTCAACAAATATTTTACAAATAAGGGCCCTGGATGCTTCTTTTATACCCAAGCATGATTGCATCACCTTTTTAAGACGTTTATTAACATTTCACAATGGTCCTAGTCTTAAAACACCACTGTCACAACTTTGTTGGAACAGGAGCAGGCATCAATTTAAATTTTAGCCCGCATATCCAAATAATAACGGACAACCATTTAAATCTATTCCCGTCTTGAAACTCCTTTCAATCTCTCACTCACTTGAAACAACCTTTTCAGTTTTCCAATCCATTAAAAAGTGGTCCACTTTGTGAGGCGCAAGACTACAAAACATCTTCCATCAGCCTTCAGGAGAACATCTTCATAATTTCTCAAGCAACCCTTTCACTCAATCTCCAGCTGGGTTCTCCGAGGATTGGGTCATTTCACATTGATTTAATCTAAGACTTTCCCACTGTGCCATCAGGACTGAGGAAGGAAAGTGTTCGTGAGAATCACCTTTGGGCAATGTCACTTACAATAAAGCAAAATCATACCTCAACATTCATATCACACCACATAGCAACAGTTAGCATCTGGCACACTAGCATTTCCCTCCAGAGCGGGATATTCTCTCCTGCATATTCTGAGGAATTCATCTGGCTAAGTGCTTTGGCTTTAAGGTATTCAAATGTTCTCGGTTTAGCCCTCCTCTGCATTTGTATAATCACTTCAGAAGAGGGCTGAAAATACCCCCTTTGGCATTTGCTCATTTCTGACCGGTAAAGCTGGAGGCATTTAGCATTTGCGCTCGCCCTTAGCAAGCTACTGGGTTAGAAAGAGAAACTGAAAAGCTGATAATTACGGCAAAGCTTATTCTAATGCAGCTAAAAAGCTGCAGTGAATGAATGAGCCTTTTGGTAGGAGAAATTTTCAATCCCATTAGGAACAGAATTAATCTCCTGCTGCTTGGAGACAGCGCTTGACCCACTGGAGACATGACTTGACTCTGGGTAGATATGGATCTGTATTTGTTGTACATTTTTCTTCTGACTCTGATACTACAGTTACCTTCAAAATGTTCCCTGTAATAAGCTCCAAGTGATGCCATGAAAGCAAATGTATGAACAATTACAGTTTTATTGGAATTCATATCTGACATTTGAAACAAAGCCTGCATAGTTTAAAAGAAAAAAAATCACCCATGCATGATAATTTTTATGTGTGCTGAATCTGGATCAGCTGTCTTAAAGCACATGTGGTGACCGAACATTCTGGGAAATGGGTTTATCAGCGGCCGTGTAAAGGCACCACAATACCAACTAGATTCATTTACTAAATGATGCCACATACTAAATCCTGTATGATCACTTTTCAGTAAATTACTTGAAAACAACATTAGTGGTCCTTTGTGTCTCATCAGAGAAGTGATTTATAACAACATAATTAAGCATTGATTTCAGCCTAAATGCATGATAAACATTTTTTTATGTTGAAAAAAAGTGATGCATGAACTTGACTTGATTCAAATGTGTACACAACTTCCACACAATTATTGTCAAAAGCATGTAAACTGGATGGCAAAGTTGATTTAGGACACATTTGCCCATCATTATAATGACATTTCAGCTGACAATCACCATATAAATAATTGTGATTAACAGTTAGATTTGTTTTGTATGCAACTGTTAAAGCCAGATTGTGTAATTAGCTGTCTTTCTTCCTAGCTGTCGATAGTATCTCCCAACTGAGAACCAACACAGCTCGAGCTCAAAAGTGTTAAATGTCAAACATTACTCACCACTGCCCTCTAAAGGTGTTAACATCAAATAAACTAACATTACTCATCACTATAAAGGTGCTATTAACAAACATTACTCAGAGCCGGTTTATGAGGATGAGGAGCCTGGCCACTTCCTATTTCCCCCGTTATATCAAAAACAGGACTGTGAAACAGCAGAGGGCACCCGTGAGCGAGTCCTCAATGAATGAGAGTAAATAGAGCTCAACAGCTAAAAAGGAAAAGTTAAAATAGTTTCTAAGTGCTGAGTGCTGATTGGTTGGTGAGCAAAGCAGCTCATTGTGCTTTGTGCATGAGGCACTGTTTTAAGCTCCTACAACTCGAGTTTAAAAGCTCTTAAAAACATAACAGCAGTGTTAAAATGTTTTATGCTATTCAGTGTTCAGCAAATGAATGTGTTCTATCACATTAAAAATGTTTAAGCATTTATAAAGTATGATTTTGCTCAAATACTCCAAATTAACCCATTCATTTTGGACTTGCTTGGGAGCGCCCTCTAGTGTTTGAGAAACCCAGAGGACATTACAGAGTGATAATTCTCCTTTCTACAAGTTCTCTGGTCTATTGCCCTCTAAAGATGTTATCAAACATCAAATAAACATTACTTTTTCTCTTTAAATGTGTTAACATTGAATGAACAAATAATACTCATTGCTGACCTCTAAAGATTTTAACAAACATCAAATAAACATTACTCACCATTTCCCTTTAAATGTATTAACAAACACTAAATAAACATTACTCACCACTGCCCTCTAAAGGTGTTATAGCAAGTCAGAAGTTAGAACAGCCATTGGTTTAAGACCCATTGAGTGGTTCAATGTTTTCTGCTTTCTTTTTACGTGTATTTGAATGCTTTAACACAGCTGATAAAAAAAACACATCCAATTCACATTGTTTATTATCATGTAAACATGATTTTGAATGCTTACAACTGTAGATTGTGGTCAGCTTCAATAATTATGATCAACTCAAATAACTGCCACTCAGTGATTATGTAATAATTTTAACGTCTAATTGTGTTGATGTAATATATTTTATCCATGTGGAGATGATCTGCATCATGTAAATCCATGAGTTTCTTCAGTGTACAGAAAGGTAACATACCAAACACCATTTTCAAATTCACTGAAGGACTGAAACAAACCTAGCTGCTACTCTTAATGTGCTCCAGTTAACAGTGGATGATGAATCTTTCAAACTTAGAATAATGAGACAACAAAAAAATAGGCAGAAGTGCAATGTTTATTACAAAAATATACTGCATCATTCAAACATTTACATTCAACAAATCAAAGATGTTACAATTGAGGTACTGTCTTTGATGGTAACGGTGAAGACACTCAAGACGAACATTTTGAAATCAATATGACTCAATACACAATATAAATTTGTGAACTATGGAAAGTAGTTTTCTCTGTAAAACTGAAGTCTTCTTGTACAGAAAAATATACCATAGTTATTCAACAGGCATATGCTAAACGAAGCATAACTGATTCTGCTGCGTAGTGCAAAACCTATTTTTGGCATTAGCTTTATGTGTATACACTTTAATCTCCTACTGTCTGAGAAGCGGACATACAGGAAAAGAGTTTAAAGATTATGTTTAGTCTTGGACTGAATTACACAGCCAATAGTGAAAACTTAGTGTAAAACTAGTCTTAAACTGCTTTCGCAAAAGTGGCTAAAACTGGTTTTTCCTCAACTTTTTTTCTTCAGTAAATAAACACACCTGTAGGCCGTCTAGCATATCATTCATAGAGTAATTTCACAGCTTTAACAGAACCCACGGTCACATTTCAGGAGCTTTAAATGTGGAATGAATTTCAAAAACCAGCGAAGCTGAAGCATTCAGTCTCACTAGATCATTTTAAGAAGCTCACAGGCTCACAGAGCAGTGTGCATGCTTTTCCTGTTTTCTTTCCTTTCCTTTCCTCATGACTGGCATTACTTCTACTTATTTATTAAATTAGCTTTTTAACAGCAAACAGGGTCAGACGAAAAAAGACTCCAGTCTCAGCTGGTCTCACTGTATTAATAACACAAAAATAAAGAGACCCTGTCAACATTTAAGTGACACAATCTATTTCTCTGATTTTTAAGTGTAGCTAGACTTATGATTCACAAACAGCGTGATGATGATTAACAATAAAATGTGTTTCTAATAATAATTTAGAATAGTCTTATTAAGGATAGCCACCCCACCATCTAGTTTACTATTTAAAACGTGCAGTGTTATTAATTCTCTCTGAAGTGTGATCTGCTAGTATCTGATGACATTGTCATGTGTTGAAAGTGATTTTCTAAAATACACAACACTAAAAACTGTTAAAATGTTCTGATCACCTGAAACTAAAGTCATGACAGATTACAAGTTATAACAAATGTTTCCTCATTTTTATCAGTGAAATTAAGTGATTTATCATCTACGATGCTATAATCTCATGCAAGTCTGTATGTTAACAGACTTCTATGATGCATGAGTTTATCATCCGTACCTCTTAAATGCACTGTGCATAAGTGATGACCAACAGAACAAACAAAACAAAAAAATGTATACTATGGTACATTTACACATTAAAAAGCTTAGCTAGGCTCGTTTTCTTATCAAAAGACCAGGGGCCATATTACAGAAAACTCTTAAGTCTGAGATCATATCTTAGCTGCTTTGTTGTCATGGCAAATTCAGTTAAGACTGAAGTTAGGACAGAAGCTATTACAGAACAACAGTCCTTAAGTCTACAATCTTATTTCCAGATAAGAAAACGGTATGACAGAAACATCCTAAGTTGCCAAAATATCCTACATATTCTCTTAACTTTAAGACAACTCCAGAGCTGTCTTAACATCTGTTTTAAATGCCTGTTTCTATTATTTTATGCAGTGACAGGCAGCACAGTTCACTGTAAGTAGCATAATGACGCTACATTTATGTATTGAAAACGGTGCTTTGACTTGTGTGGGTTTTTGTTTTTTAAACGGCCGTTTTTAAGAACTCAGACGCAGCACACACTCCACCGTCCCCCCTTATTACCTTTGGTTGTTAAGGTTTGCTAAAAGCTTGTTAGGTACAATATTATAGTTGTGGTGCTGTATGAGGTGACAGAGCTGAACATGTGTCTGTATATTAGGACGAAGAATGTTAGCGCGCTTGGCTAAAGTGTTTAGGAAATGAAACTGTGGAGCGGCGATGCTCCGATAAACAGCATGAAGTGTAACAATATTCTTAACTCTCAGTTTATCGTGCTTTAGTTTTATTTGACCTTTTTTTTTTTTACATCAGTAACGGTAGCTAACGTTAGCTGTCTGGCTAACTTGATTAGCTACGTGTTCACGTTTCTGCTGTGTGCGTATGGTCAGATGCTAGGTAACAGACACAACAGTTGATAGTTGACTTCAATCAAGAAAGTTAAGATTTCCTAATCTGAGATAAGCTAAGATGCTGTAAGATAAGATTATTAAATAAAGATTAGATTTGCTTCCGTAATATGAATTTGTGAAAAATCTTATCTTGACCTGTCGGATCTTAAGTTAAGACAAAAAGATAGGAAGTTTCTGTAATACGGCCCCAGGATTCTGTCTCACACAAGACGTTTGGGAGCCCCTGTTTTGTTGATTGTCTAAGTGAAAAAAAAGTTAACACATTCTCTACATATAACTCACTTCTGCACACTGTAATACACAATTGCTGTTTATCGGCTGAATTTAGTATATTGGGGGAAAAAAAATGTAAAATGTGGCCTGTATAAATGTTATGGCATATTTTGTTTTTTTTCCCCCCAATATGTAAAACTGTGCACTAATGTATTATTTTCACTTTGAAAATCAACAAAACATGTAATTTGAGGGTGTTGCATACGACTGTATTCTTTACTAAAACTAGATCAGCACCCAAAAGGTAACTCCAACTTTCCCTGAACATAAATAAGGTACTTCTGAAACTGGTGGAACCTTGCTTTTTATCCATAATTCCTGCTTAGTCACAAATGACAGAGCTTCTCAAACTTCCAGCCCTAGAGCTGCTCTAATGCACTTAATATAGCTAGGGGGATTAATCACTAGCTGAATGTAAGGTAAGCTGGAACAGGCAAAAAAAAAAAACCTGCAGAACATTCAGGTATCTAGAACTGGAGTGAAGAACAACTGTTCTAGAGCATTTCAGAACTAGAGCGGCCGACTGATTGTCAGGTTCCATCCATTTGGCCCCTCTCAGTTACACTTAAAAGTGATTTCAGTGCGTATTTCATCCTCCTTTCCATTCATGCAAGAGTCATGGACAACTGGCAGGAAAAAAAACTACATATTCTAGTTGAATTCATGGAGTTTTCAATGACTTGAATGAGTCTGCAACATGACTTGAACACATCTGCAACAGTCCTGCTCTCCAGCTGGGCTTAAGGCTTCTTACCAATACTGTATGTGCTTCTAGCTGAGATGGGCTCATGGGTTTGAGTGGACGGGATCATCTTGCATTGAGATTGTCTTTCTGTATGTACTTAATGCTCTCCCTTAATTTCTTGGTGAAAATGTGACTGGATCTTCCACAGTATGTGTGCGTTGTAGTCTTTAGCTTTTCCTCTAAGGGGTGAAGTAGAGAGCTCACTGGATCTTCTCCAAATGGGTACTGAAAACAAAGCACAAACATGTCACGTTATTAAACAATGCACATCAAATCCAATTTTAAAAACTGATCAGATTTTTTTAGTCCCATCAAATATAACAGCATCTGGGGATTTGAAGACCTATCTGGTGGAAATGTACAAAATGGGCAGAGCACAATTTTTTAACATCGGCTGTGCTCTGCAACCTTTCCCTAAGCAGACAAATCTCATGACTGTGTGCAAGTATAAAGAGAATGCAATCGAAACTTGGTGAAAGATGTGTCATCTGAGTATGTATGTGAATTGTCATCTACTATTGTCATCATATCTTTATTGATGTAGGATTGATTTCGCATTTGAGACCTAAACATCCAGCTGGACCTTCTTTTTGACTCTGTGCATGTGACATTAACATGTGAAGTATGACGTGGTCTGACAAGCTCTCAAAAAATAACCAGACTGCTCTGACTTGTAAATGAATTTTTTAGGCTTTATATGGTGACTTACAGGAGCACATGAAGTCCATATTTTAGCATATCTTTCCCCACCTGGCTCAGTGGTGCTACGTCTGTCAATTTAACAAAAAAAAACAAAAAAAAACAGTGCAGCTTTGAAGCTGTGCAAACTACCAGGTTTCCATAAAAAGCGCATCTTTCTCCACAAACACAGCATTCATTAAAAGTCTTTTTTAGATTTAACCCTTTATTTATAGGCAATTTAGTGCAATTATCATTCTTTGGAAGCAAGTCTGCACAATAAATAATGACAGTAATAACAATAATAATAAAGACTTTATGGGGCCTCATTTGCTTTGTGTTCTGGCCTGGTATGAGGTCACTAAAAACGCACTCTTTTTATTAGCACTGATGCAACACATATCAGGCCCTGATGAAGCTGCATTTACTGTCTCCTATTGATTTTTATGGGAAGGATGGGCATGCTGGATGCTGCCTTGCATTCTCCTAGTCCCAAACGAAGCATCGGCACTAAAGATTTTACGGCTCTTCCGTGGGGTTTGCCACTGTAATGGTGGGGTCTTTTATTGCCCGCCAAACTCCTGCATCTGTGAGCATGTCTACAGGGAGTAAATGCTACAATAGGATGCAGGGGGTGTGGTGGCGAGGGTTTCTTGCAGAAATCTGAAGAGAAGCCTGAGGCTTGGCATAGCAGACCTGGTGGGAGAAATTAACATGAAAGTTCATGCTACACCAATATGCTTTCTAACAAGACAACTGTGTGCCTTCTGAAAACAAACGTAACAAACAGTGAGACTCTCGGATAGAGAAAACTTTCAAAGCAACTCCAAACTCAATTGCTGATGATGTTCTTTATCTTCTCCCTGCTTATTTTGGTGAAGCTCTATGCGGGTGTGGGCTAGTCCTGCCAAACAGACAGCACCCAGTTGAATCATGGGCCTCTACTAATGACAGACCTCATTTAGCTAATGGTCCAGAATGCTTCCTCCGCTGTCAGGGGCAAAGAGGTCTCGCCTGGCCATAATGACCGGAGACACACAGGCACGCTCTCTCCCTCCCTCTGCAGATAAAACGAACAAGGGATTGACTGCTCACCACAAGCCGGAGACCAGGATGGGGGGGAGACAGAGATAGATAGATAAAGAAAGAAAGAAAGAGAGACAGAGAGAGAGCGCAAAACCTTAAGCCTGATGAACAAGAGAGGGAAGCAGTGAGGGAGAGATAAAGGATGGAGGGAGGAAGAAGGGAGTGTTGGGCTTTAAAGATTAGCGAATTAAGAGTGATCGTTGTGCCTGACGAAGACGACAGAGATTAAGTCAAGAACACGATGGCCCTGGCAGGCTGATGGGTGAAGTTAACAGAGCTATTGATTTCTGCTCATCAGCTACAGAGCGAACTTTGCCTCTCATTCCAAACCAAAACCTCTCCACAAACCTGGAATAAAACTACACAAATATTAACCCAGTTTAGAACCATCCACTGACCACCATCTTAATGCAGGCAGCTAAATTTTGTTCTGCCAAGCCCCTTCTTGACAAATGGGGCCAAATATGAGCAGATGTTTTATCTGAAAAACGCTGTAAGGTTTGTGCTGAAAGTCAAAAAAGGGAGACTGTCTGAACAGATCATGTGACGTCCAATGGGAGTTGATGTGGTAGACCAACAAAGGCCCACAGGACCACAAGCACAGGTGTTATGTCTGAAAAAATATTTGAGAGACAAAGTCCCTGTCTCTTTATTCTTCAATACACACTGAGCCTTTATTATGAGGAATGAGATAGCTAGCCAAATTTGTGTCAGCATGTGCCCAAAGGAACTTCAATATGGCCTTTTCCAAATTAACCACCTCTAATTAGATTTTAGTCTGCCGTAATGAAAACCTAGCATGATGATATTTAGCACCCACGTTATTAAGCAGCGCATCCAATTAAAAAGTTACACCTGTTTTCTCCTGATAGACCTTTCAAGCTTTAGCCTAACAGTTCGGTAGGATATTTGTTATTTATTTATTTATTTATGATGATACGAATACTTACTTTCTCAATAGCATCATATACGGCTCGGAAGGCAGGCTGCTTATCATCATGGTAAACACCTCGATTGCCGTGGAGAATGTAAACACCGTATTGCTCAGCTGCAGCACAGTTGCTGCCGTAGATGCAGTGATCTGGACGGTAGTTCCAATGGCATGGGAACACAAACAAGCCCTCTGTGAAGCATAAGGGAAAATTAAATCTTTAGTTGAAAGAGGAGCATCTTAAGGTGACAGCTGATCTTCAAGCACTGTCTGGGGAAAGCCTTCATGTGTGCACAAGCAATACATCTGTGGGGGCATTTCTTAGCCAGATAACTTAAACCAAGGCAGACCTGCCCGACAAAAGGGGAGCTGAGTGACATTCCTGTTGGAAGAATCACTGTTTTACATTTAAGAAATCCAGCTAACTGAGAAACCTTGCTTTATGCTTGCTTCATGAAATACACCCTTGGTGTATGCTTTTGGCTGAAATAATGTAGAGACCAGAGATCATGTTCACGCTTACTGCATCTAAGAACACAGCCCTACTGGTAACGATAAAGGATAGTGATTATTTTTAGCTATTTCAATGTGGCCTTACCCCCTGGTCATAGTAACAGACTACTCCATGTTGTTACTGGATAAAACAACTATGTAATGACAGACTGCTATGAAGAAAGCAATTCAGTGATAATCCACAATTTGGAGAGGAGATTCTTGGTGTTGAAAGGGTGAAAATAAAAGTAATCTTAGTGCAACAGAGAAAAAATCTGCCACTTCTCTCCAAAAGCTAACTTTAAAAAATGCCCTGAAATAAGTTAAATAATTATATTCTTACAACAATCTCAAAATGAGAAACAAGATATCAGCTAGGTTTAAGATGAGTTACCTTGATAAAATATAATTTTTGCAGCATCGACAGTTATGTGACTCAGGAGCCCAGAGCCTCTACTAAGTTAAAAATGTGTATTCAGCGTGCCCCCTTTCCTGTCTTTTGCCTAGAGCCCCAGAATCACTAAATGCAATACTGCAAACAGATTAGCAGAAGGTTTAACCCGTTAACATTCAGAGATCCAGATTCCATCTCTCACTCCTATGACAATTCAAATAATTTTGCACATTTTTCCATGTACTTGTTGAGCCCTTAGAATATTGACACCTGTGAAGTTTAAGGGTTTAAACAGCAATCCACAGATATATGTAAGAGGCGTAACGATAGCTACCTGGGTTGTGGTGAAATATGATGTTTAGGAGGTCTTGGTCTCCCCATGTGATATTGAGTTTGTATTTCTGCAGAAGTGGCATAAGCAAGTCCGCCCATCTCAGATGAACTGGTGTCATGTCATTCTGTTTACACAATACAGAAACAGACAGTCCATTAATATTACTTGAGAAATGTCAATTTCTTAAACATCACAGCAAAAAATACAGATTACCAAATACAGATTAGACGCTTTCAAAACATCAAAATCAGTATCCCCAGTAGTGGTTGAGATTAACATCTGCATGATGGACACTGATTCTAGATCACTCAAATATGCCTTCAACTTTAAGCTTACTTTTTTAGTTATCTGGGGGTTTCAAGCTGGATTGGCAATGATGTGCCCAAATGTTTTAAATAAATACTGCTTTCTCCCATCAAGCAGAGGAAGAAAGCATGATGAAACACTTTCGACAGTGTGGAAATCTGACAAGACAAATAATAGAATAACAGTGACCTCTGCTGGCCAGCACTGGTAAAATAATCTAGCATTAAAAGGGGATCTTTCTGATCTAAGACCAGTACCCCAGGCCCACACAATAATCTTTGTAATGTCAAACAAAAGGGACCAACGAAGGTTGACTTCTACAAAACAGCAGATAAAAGTCCAGAAAGATAAGAGAATGTGCCCACACACATTAGATACTGTACCCTGAAGTGCTTGGCTCTGATTCGAGTCATATTCATGAGCATGACTCCAGAGTTCACTCCAGTCTTGCCGTAGTATGGGTGGCGTGCAAAACGGTTATACCATGCTATTCGGGGCTCTTCATGTTCCGGTGCCATTGCCGCCATGTGAGTGCTGTTAAACATGGAGAGAAAGTTCCAGATCTCCTCCACTGGCTGCAGAAACAGGATGTCAGTGTCCACATACAGCAGAGAATCCACCTCACTCAGGATCAGCTGAGGAAAAAACAACACCAGAAAACCTCAACTGCTGGCCACAGACTACTTTTTCTGAACACTTTTGTTGAAAGGAATACAACCAATTAAAGCAAGTTGTTTAGGAACCTTCTCTAAACTATTTCAGCTGAAACGGGACATGTGGTTTGCCACAAAATAGCAGTTTAGTAACAAGAGTTTCAGCACATGGGCTGACCACAGGCCAAATGTGACTTCCTTTTTCTGCACAAGAAGTGTCAGTTTAAAAGCCAGGCGTACACTACATGACCTAAAATCCTAAAAGATTTCGAAAACACACAGCATGGCATACTTAAAGTCAGTATTTTACAGAATTCATTGTGTTTTTGTCAGGACCATGTACGTCAAAGGCAAAAAGAGTTTCATGCAACGAGTTTCGGGTACAAAAAAAGCACTCGAAACCCCCTGTTATCATGTGATGCAAACAAAAATAAACTGGACCAAACCTGTTTGTGCTTTCATGCACACAAGAAACACTGAGGAAAAAATTGCATGTTGGGTATGAATACAGAGTTTGAACGTCCCCAGTTAAGTTACTCGTTTTGCTGATATTCTAAGTGAATATACATTAACACATTTTTTACAGGGAACAAATTTAAATGAAGCATTTGCTAATTTCTATGTATATGCCCCTAGAAGTTTAACATATTGAAAAAATAACAAAATGTGATATAACTTTTGCACAGGCCACATTTAATTTTTGCTCCTCACTATGTTAAAGTCTGTAAATAAACAGTAATTGTGCTGAAGTGTGTTAACTTATTTTCACTTGGAAAATCAACAAAACATGAACTTTGCATGACTGTATGTGGTTGAGAAACATATTAGAGAGCTGGAAAAACATTTTGCAAAGAGATTGTCTTGATATCTGGGTCCATAAATATTACAACTGTTCTTTTTTGCCAGTGTTCAGCAAGCAGCCATTGCCTGTGTCATTCCTTCTTTTACGTCTCTGACACTACAAGACTCCTGAAACTGTTTTCAGTCATAAAAATCAAACGTTTGATTTATCGGAATACTCTGATCACTCCAAAGTTCGACTGGAAGGCTAAAAATTTGACTTGATTCCCGTCTCACACTACCAGATCATCTGCCCCATCAATCACTTCCGACCGAGCTCTGACCTGAAAACAATTTAGAAAAATTGTGCAGCGGAGACCTGGCTTAAGTGTGATTTCTGCCCTTCAGCTTTCCCTGACTGATCTTTCATGCACCCTAGAATGTCCTCCCTGATCAGATAACATGGCTCTGACTGGCAGAACAAAGAGTTTGTGTTGTCTACATACAAGGTCAGTTTAAGAGGATTGAGGAAGCACTGTGTACTCACGGGCAGGAAAAGCCTCTGAGAAGCACAGGGTTTGAACAGCTTCTTCCACTCCTTTGCATTATCACTGGGGAAGGTGATGGGGTAGATGGTGTAGTTATACTTGGAACGAAATCTCACTGGCCACGATTCCAGCTAGTAAAAAGAAGACACTGAGATTTAACACTGATTCATCAACAAAGACTCTTACAAATTATTACAGGACCGCATAAATGGAACTGTCCTTGATACTGAACAGTAGCTGAGGAGACTTTTATTTTTCAGTTCTTTGGACTCAATTTGTCAGTTGTATGAATATACAGTTATTTGTTAACTTAGGATGAGTCTATTTGTACTTTCAAAAACCACAAACATGTCTTAAAAGAATGATTTGGCAAAAAAGCTAATTTACAACACTTTTCACTTATTCTTAGATGTAGTCGGTTGGTGGAGACATTTTTGTCCAATTTGAGTCCAAATTTTGTTGCTCTGGATTAAAACTGGAACTGTGAGTTTAACAAACACTAGAACTCAATAGTAATCAACACAGGCCAAATCCTTTCTGTAAAAATCCATAATCAAAACTTCTTCCAACCTCCTTAAATCACATTCAGGTCTTCAGTAAGGTTGTGCAGACTTGCCAATGTGATTCAGGGCACATTCTGACTTCCTGTGAACTATAAAAATTAGCAAAACTGCATGCAGCCAGGGTCTGTAGTCACAAACCACCTCAGGAGTGAGAGTGCTGATCTATAATCAGTTTTTATGTTGTCTGAAATGTCTGCCGTAGCTGTGAAATTTTGTTAATTTTTATAGCTCACAGTATGCCATACTGCGCTCTACACCACATGGAGAAGTCTGTGTGACCATAAAAATACTGCATTCTAGCATTTGTTAGTAACGTTAGCCTCACAGCTCCAGTTTTAAACTAAAGAATCAAAATTTGGACTCCTGACTGATGAACTACATCTGGGATCAGGGGGAAATTAGGTAAACTGGATTTTTCATCAAACTATTCCTTTAAAGCAGTGGTTCTGAACCACCCCTGGTCCCGAAGTAGTAGTCCTGCACTTTCTAATGTATTTCCTACTCTTACACACCTCACTTCAATGCAGAGAGAGCTTGTTAATTATAGCTGGAACATTTGTGTTAGAACAGAAAACAGGGCAGTGCTCCAGGACCAGGCAAACAAACACCACTGCCTTAAAAGATGTAATCACTAACTCACAGAATCTTTGAAGCCAGAATGGAGATCATCCTCAGCAAAGATATGAAAATGGAGTGCTCTCTGGCTAAAGATGACAGCAGACTTCAGCATGGTGAGGGTCTCCTCCAGCCTTGGTCCACACGCCACCACTGCCAACCTGACCGGCTCAACTCTGTCCACATGACTGAACCCAGACAATGTCTTATCCACAGCATACCTGCAGAACGACAGCAGAGCTCTGGTAAACTGGTGTAATGATGCCTCAAAATGGAGGAGGCGAGTAGAAACGCAAAGGTTGTTTATTCCTTTGACGTTAGGCGCTCAGGTGTGTGCAATTAAAATGCTGGGAGAGTGAGATCCTGAAAAACAAGATTTTGAGGGCACCTGAAAGCAGTCAAAAAAAGCAAACCGAGTCCAAACAATTCTCCATCTCACTGATGGCTACAAACTAAGCTCACAACTAAGGTTAGAGTCAACCCATCCTACCTACAAGCCGACTCCATAAAGCAGTTCTTGCCACAAACATCAGGGGGCAGTCTCCAATAGGGATTCCAGTGTGTGACAGACATTGACTTACACCTGACAGAACAAGAAAAATAAGCTCTACATGAAACACTCCTTTCTTCAGTGAACAGCTCCATTCCTCAGAGAACAACTCCTCCCACAAGCAGATCCAAACTGTAATACAGGTTAAGTAATGACTGTAGTTAGTTTACTGCAGGGGGGACTGGCATTTCACACCGTCTTTAACTTGGAAGCAGCAATTCAAATACAAACCTGAAAGGAAGAAGCAATGAAGTGTAGTGACACAGCGACAGTGTTAACCACAAAACATGATGACTTGTGGAGGATCAAGCATGCTTCAGTTTAGCATACTTGTATAAACCAGTACAAACCAGCTGCAATTCAGAATAATCCCGCAGTCTAAATAGCTAGCTAACCTACATGAGCAAGTCACAAAACGGAGAAGTTTTGGACCAGACGTGGCCACAACAATCATGTGCAAATCTAACATGCAACAGTTTAATGTAACATTAGCTAATATTTCTGATAAACCAACTATTTAGCTATTAGCTAATAAACTGTCCGTATCTAAGGTTGTTTAACGTTCGCCCAACCTGATTAAATAACCAGTTTGCCAGCAAACTAGACAAAGTTTACTTGCTTCTAAACAACTGAGCTGCCTACTTAACTAACCTACTTTACTGCTACTTAAAGAAGCTGAGTTAACGTTAGTAGCTAGTTAGTTAACCTAGCTATCTAGCGTAAGTAAAGTTAGCTGGGTTAGCTCTCTGATGTGAAGTTTCCCTCAGAGTAACGTTAAATATTGTCTCTCAAACTGGTAAATAAACCTTCTTCTGACAGAAGGCTTAAATCCGGCACGGCTTTTAACAATATGAACCTACAGTGTGGACACGTTATGCTAGCTATGGTACAAACTTTGTGCCCATCTGGTAGCCGTTAGCCGGCTCGCTAGCGTAGCTGTTCGCTACCTGTCCCTCCAGTCGTGGCCTTCTCTCCCCGCGGCTTTCCTGGCGTAGCGCGGCGGGCCTCCATCAGCTCTCGACTCGGTCCACGAGTTTACAGTCTCCAGAGAGGAGGCCAGCTGGTTAAACACGTACAACACCGAGAAGAAGACCAATATCACGCAAGCGAATAAAAGACGAAGATACCGACGCATTTTTATGGGGAATAGGAGCTGTCAAACTAAAATTCACGTCATTGTCGGCCGTTCAGAAAGTCCTCCGCTCCACCGAGACTCCGATGAAGCGCCGTGTGGAAGCCTGTGTCATCATCACCATCGCACAGTGGAGCTGAGGAGCTGAGAGGCCCTCGGTCACTCACAGGACCACACTGCAGCTCTCATAGGGCCAGATACAGCCAGCACTGACAGATAGAGGAGAGTAGAGTCTTCCACACAGTCCCTCAGCTAAAATAGCTGTTATTTTGTTCTTTGATTATTTAATGACTCAAAGAAAAAAAGCACTTTTCCAAAAAGGAAAAAGAAACCATGACAGAGTACGCTGTTAAAAAAGATGGTTCTTCAAGGCTTTAATATTGAACCATTCATTTTCATGCTTAAATGGTTCTTTTCATGGTGAAATCGTTCTCCAGGTTGATGGAGTATGTGTCGTATATGATGCTATGTAGAACATTATTGAATATGTTTGTATATAGCACTAAAAAGGGTTCTTCTACTGTTACACTGTCAAGCTTGTAAGAACAGAAGAACCAAGTTTGGTGCTATATCGAACCATGTACAACACATTCCCCATCAATCCGAAGAACCATTACACCATGCAAAGAACCATTTAAGCATGCAAATGGTTTTAGAACTTATGGTTCTAAACAGAATTTACCAAAGAACCCTTGAAGAAGCATCTTTTTTAAGTGTGTAGAGAACTAAAATAGAATTTTAAGTACAGAGTAGCTGCTAGAACTGCAGTGGAACTTCAGCTATCAGCTTAGTAAGTGAAGGTTGTTCAGGTCTCTTCATCTCTGTATTTTAGGGATCCTTTTGGTCTGAAATAAAATGTTAAGCACCAAAGTAAGAGCTGTGAGCAACAGCAAGACAGGAAGGTTGAAATGAAAAGAAATTAAGCAGTTACACCTCAATTCTACACAATTCTGCGCAATTCCACACCAGTCACATTACCAAAATGCATTTCAGCTGCAGTTCAACCAATATAAACGCTTAACGTCAGCTCAGCAGCTCGGGAACTGAGCCCAAGCCTTAATGAACTTGCAGCGAAGAAAAGATGCCAGGTGTCTAGTTTAAGTAGATAGGTAGGTTTAAAAGACTCCTGGGGACATTTACATTTAGAATATTTCAAGCGTCCATGTAATATTTAGGGTCTACTACAAGTGTCTGTATGTTACTGTTATGTTACTGTTACTTTATGAAAAGTTTTTTGCATATTTTGAATAAACAATGGCCAGTTCGGGTTTTAGCACAACATGAATTAAAAATAAAATAAAAGCATTTTTTTCTGGCCCACAGGTTTGAAGAGATTTTTTAATATGACCCTTTTACTGGTTGAGTTTGACAGCCCTGGTGTAATGCTTTTAAAAGCTCCCTCACAGACAGTTATTACACAAAATGCTTATGAACACCTGAGACACTGTCTCCGATAGTCAGGGTTGGCATGTAATGGAATACAATTATTTGGAATATGTATTCAGAATACAGAAATTAAGTATCTGTATTCAGTCCATTACTTTTTTAAAGGCAGTATTCAGAATACAGTTACTTCTTACAATTTTAGGTTTATGCTTTTAGAATACTTAGCCACTACATAAAAATTAGTCTGCAAAAAAAAAAGAAACTATCAAAGCTTCTTTATTAATTTTATTGAGAAGTAGCAAACATGCTTGTGTATCAAATTCTAAAATGAACCTCAATTAACAACTTATTTACAAACACTGAAATCCTACTAAATCCTGAGACTGTTTGAGCTCTCCCAAAGCCTGAGTAGACCGATAAATCAATGTGATGATCAGTTATTAGTCTCAGTGTTACTGAGCTCATTTGAGATAAAAAAATAAATAAAATGATGATAAAATATATGATATACATACATATATATATATATATATATATATATCGTATATTTATATATGATATAAAATTCATAAGACATGTCTAGGTTCACTGGTTGTTTTGGATAGGAAATGGCTGTAGTTGCATTTTAGACACTGTAACCCCTGATTTCTATCAGCACCACTGCAAGGAAATCCAAGTCAGGAAGTTTCTCTACAATAAACCATTTCATGTCATACCTCTCTGAATGACTCTTTTCACATCTCAGTGATTGATTTATGGAGAGATAAAAAAAAACAACAGCGGAATTCCCCTGCAACTACATGTAACTGAGTAAACATAGGTAGTTACTACCCACCTCTGTTGGCACATTATCAGTTATTCAGAAGTACATCATTAAAACAGTTCAACAAATGTAGACAAGATGACATACACTGTAATGGTTATAAATATTTTGGTTTAATTTGGAAAAGCAATATAAACCTTTAAACTAATAACAGAAGTCAACTTCACAATTTAAATTATTTTAATTTTCAGCAAAGCCTTTCCTAAAAAAAATATTCAAAATACACACACCCCCACGCATACACACCTCTCTTATCAGAAACATGGCTTTTGTTGATAATCTAGCCAACAATAAGCACGTTAAACACAAATGGGCTTTTAAGATGCAAGAAACAGATAAAATAAACCAAAGACCACAGATCTACAGATTGCTACCAAGTGCTCTAACCAACAGAAACGTGAAAAGATGCCTTTAGTTTCATATTGCGAATGTAGGCTACTACATGATTCAGAGAAAAATGGTCTGGTGTTACTGAAGGATAATATAATGAATGCATATAAAGGGACATCCACCACACTTTAGTATCATGGTCCTGCATTAAGTCCAGCATGAATGCATGGAAAAGAATGATGAATAAGGCATTTTTCTACAAGTGTGTTTTTTTAAAACTCTTTCAATTCTAATATTCTTATGCTGACAGTATCTAAAAGCTGGACATAAAGCACGCAGTGGTGGAAAACCCCTTTAACACCTTCAGAAGTGCAAACAAGAATTTGTCTTTCAACACAGACCCTGATGAAGTAATCAATTTTAAACCTTTTTATGTCACTGAATACATCATGGCAATAATGTAGCAATAATTAAACTCAAAATTCAAGATTTATAAAACTCAGAGTGACTCGATGAAGCAACTTGTGCACAACTTTTGAAAAACCTGTTTCAAAACTTAATTTCTCATCAGACAGACATTAAAACAGTGCCTTTACCCAGGTTCTGAGACCTACCATTGATCTACTAATACCAGTCATTACTTAAAACTCTTCACATTTATACTCTGTAAACTTTCCACTTGTGTGAAACTCATACCAAAATACTCTGTGTTAAAGAATGAATAGAAACGATGATGTTATTACAATATTATGACCTTACGCTATACATGTGGTTCTCAGTCTCAGTGCTAGGGACCTAGGCATTGCTAATGTTTATGGGCTTGTTTGAAATTAACTGCACCTTGCCTTGGTGGTTGGCGAGAGTAGCTGCTTGCCGTTGGGGAAGAGCTGAGAAGAGAGCTGGTCAGTTTTACCAGCAACACCCCATGGGGGCCGGCAGCTTTCACGACATTCACATATCAGATATGTAATTTGTTTGAAGAATATAAATTTGAACTTCAATGTGAAACCCACAAACATAGTTTAACAGGCTATGTGTAGTATTCACTACAGTTTGTGTCTATATGGTTGTCTAGCCAATGAGAACCAGATTGCTCTGTGCAGCACCTTGTCAAGTCAAACAAGCCCTATGTTCTCAATGATCTAAAACACCTAATTACCTCAACTGAGATGTGGCAGTGCATGAGATTAAGAACCACTGTAAAATCTGTATCCCTTAAATACATTCTCTTATTGTCTTTTACTTTCTAGAAACTTAACATCAGTAACCGTCTTTGAGCCAACAAGTCTCTCTATGTAGCTCCAATGCTCAGAAAACATAGAGAAGTATGATGGTAATTAGAGCAAAGAGTTCCAAAAGCAGTTTATTAGATGTGATGATGGTAGTTCAGCATGGGCATTTATGACTTGCTACTTAATCGAGACCTTCCTATGATCTTAGTGCAGTAAATGTTGCTGGGAAACTCAAAGCCCCTTCCAGTCCAGTTGAGGAGGAGTCAGGAAAGGGAGTGATTTAAGTGATGCTGTCTGTAACATTGTTGACCTTTAACAGAATAACAGAGTTCTCAGGGGTTAGTGTGGTTCCCCGTTGACTGATGTGCCTTCACCTCGAGGAGAGGATGATCTTGAGACTGCTTTCTCAGTGTTATCTGAGCTGGATCCACTCTGGCTTTGTGGGTCTGCTGACGTGGCCGTGGAGGATAAGCTGGAAGAGGAAAGGGGTTTCGTTTTCTCCTTAAAGTCTGTGATGATGACTGTCAGATCGCCCACTGTGACTTCCAAGTGCTGTGCACTGTTTCTGTCAATGTTTTTTAACCGTGGCCTGTGAACAGTGAGGGGGGGAAAAAGAGGAATATAAGAAGTGCAATCTTAAGGTACTATTTCATAATATAGGCACAACGAAGGCATTTTCCATTACATGCTGAAAACAAATTATTAAAATAAAACCTCCTCCAAAAAGCTTAATGAACAGACTGTTTTGAATGAAACTCTGTTGTAAGCATGAAACTTTTAAAATAATCTGCCATTTTGCCATTCAAAATAAAAACAAGACTTATCTTTCTGTAACTGTCTAAGCACAGAACAATCCTCAGTTCCAAGTAATTTCACTGTCATATCCCAAACAGCATAATGTCAGAAAATTGTGCAAAATACTTTACCTCATCTTTTTGTGGCTGTTCTTTTTCAGTGCTGGCTCCCTGTCGTTTTTGTCCTTCTCCGTCTTTTCCTTCTTCTCCTTTTTGGGTTGTGTAGGTGAAGCGAATTGCGGCGTTACTTGCTGAGCCACAATCTGAGAAACGGGGCGAGGTTTACTGGAAGAGAGTGTCAGATGAATCTAGATGATGACATCATGGAGAACTTATAGTCAGGGCTAATGGGGTCATTAGTGGTCAGAACTAAATAAAGGGGTTGTGCTCAAATTCCCGAAACCTCAAGAGCTGAGATCTTGCTTAGCTGACCACAGGTACTGGCAAAACTGAAGACCAGATCTGAACTCCATAACCTATGACATTATTCGTCTCACATTTATTATTTATCACATTTGCATCCACATGGTTTGCTGAGGAATGTGTTTCTGTCAGAGTAAAGATGTGTAGAGGTCAGTTTTATGTCATGAGACCATTAAAAAAATCAATCAAAAGTCAAAGAGTGAGTCAAGTCTAAGCTGTGCTAAAAAGTAAATAAAACTCAGAAAGAAAACTGTGGTTACTACAGAAGTTATTTCAACACTCATTCATTCACACATTCAACTCCCTGCTTTCAATACCCTGGTAACGTACCAGAAAACATGAACAATAAACAAAAATCTGAATATCAAGTAATACGTGTATGATATGGCGCATCATGTTAATTCAAGCAGAGTTGGGAGGTGAGGTATGTGTAGCCTAAAACCATAAAAGTCCTGTTATATCAGTAAACTAATTACTCAAAACAGAAGTAAAAGAAGCTAGAAAAAACTGAATAGGATTTCAAAAAGTATGAGTTCATAAATCGCTCAGGTACTCAGTTCGCTACATTTGCAAAGGAACATCTCTTTTTTTAATTCTTTTGGGCTCAAATTAAATGATAAAGCTCAAAAGAGAGAAGTGTGAGCAACAGCAAAGCATACAAAACAGAATTAAATCCATAAGAAATACGTGAATAATTGTGAATGACTTAAATGGAGCTAAGATCAAGTAATATACTTTACTGTAAGCAAAGAAGAACACAGAAGTTGAAAATATTTAAGTGATAATACTAAAGTATCATCTTCAAAGACTGGGACTTTACCGATGAATATTATAGAAAATGAATACTCGTACTATTACGTAATAAATACTATACTTTCATTATTACTAGTATTATTATTATTATTAATAATAATAATATTAAAAAACTACTACTAATAATAATAATATACTTTTCCAAGACAAAATAACATACTTTTTAAGCCCTTGTTACAAATCTCAAACAACTTAAGATCTTTCTCTTTTTCATTTTTCTCTTGCCAATTGAGCTGCCATGGATTAACTGCTATTAGTTGCTGCACCACTATTGTGGACCACACTGTTCAGGAAGATGAGGCCCCGGAGTTTAGTGTGTTGGAACTGAGTGAGGGATAATGCCGTGTAATATAGTGGTTATGACAACATCACATTATATCTGCAGGCATGCCAAGTTCAGGGGTGACGTGTACTTCAAATGGTACACGTTTTTGAAGTTACTGAAAAGGGCTAACTAGTGTTGTGCGGGTACTGTCATTTAAACACAGTATCAGTATTGGCAAAAGAGAATGAGTAATGTGTGCACGCACTCCAGTAGATGGAACGTAACTGAAGCAGGCAATAAGTCAGGGGTGGGATTATTTGACTCTTGAGACAAGCAGTAGTGAAATATGCTCTTTGCAAAATCTGCAGCGGCAGTATTCTGAGGGAAGGCACGACCAACAAAAACTGCAGTACATCATATTTAATTGAGTATTTAAAGATAAACCATTCCAAAAAGCTCAGTGATTTACTGTTTCATTTGTGACACAAGACACAAAAAGTGGAAGGCTATCAATATTTATCACCACCTATCAAGTAGTTAGGTAAGATTAGGGCTAGAGTTAGGGCCGGTATCAGAAGGGAAAAAGGGGGGAAAGTGGTATTGATGCATCCCTTAACAAGCTTTCTAGTTTTAGCTCATTCTGCTCATGCCCAATATCTAAGTTAATGTATATTAAAATAAATAAACAAACAAACAAGACCTGGGTTTTGTCTGTAAAACCTTTACGTTTTTCCACCCCTGGTAAAACTGGTATAATTTGATACAGAGCTAAGCAATATGGCAAATATGTAAAAAGAATTTAAAAAAAAGTTTTCACTATATAAAGGTGTATATATATATATATATACACACACACTTACACACATATATCTGCTAAGTTTTAAATATACTATTAAAAACTATTCATCCAAAGATTTTTATTAATCATCTCACACACTCTGCTGAACTCAATTTTAAAAGACAGGACTAACTATGTTCTCTTTCTAATCTAATCTTTGTAATGCAGTTGAGAAGTGATTTTTAAGTAATGATAATATCCGCTATATACTCAGAAATGCATTTTGTGATGTAAATTATCGCGTTAATGTTGCCGTTGCTCAGCCTTGATTCGAGCAACAATTCCCTCAAAATTTGACTCAAGTACGTGTAACTGAGGAAGCTTAGTCACTTTCGGCAGAGTCTGTCCGTCCGTCTGAGAGTGAAAGTGTTGTGGTGAGGCAGCAGGCGGCAGTGCGGCTGGGGGATTCGTGTCTGAGGTCTTACCGAGTTGACGTCCCCTTTCTAACGTCGCACATCATACATTTGAACGCCTCAGCAGTGTTTCTGAAAGTGCAGACGCTACAGTCCCAGTAGCCTTCGTCCGACGGGGGCTTGCAGTGTCTCTTCGGCCTTCAAACACAACACACACACACACACACACACAGGGGCATTCAGACATTAGGAGTCGAGTACAACAGGGGGCAGAGCAACAGAGCAGCTGAGTTCTCATCACAGCTGTGCGGCTGTGTCGAGCCCTGAAAGCTGCTGCTAATGTTGTGGAGACAGACAGACCCATCCGCCATGTACGACACGAGTGAGTGAGTGTGTGTGAGAGAGAGAGAGTGTGAGAGAGAGTGCTATACTCAGACTCTGCTTACCAATGCAGCGCGCGGCCGAGGCTTCCCACGGCCTTATTAGCAAGCTAACTCCTTTACCTTGTCGGACTCTTCTTGTCTCCCATCTCAACAGGATGTTGTAGCAATTAAAGTGTAAAGAAATCGGACCCCGAATCCTCCCACCGAGCAAACCTCTCTGTCCAGCTGTCGCGCAAACTCCAGGCGGAAGGCGGTCACGTGGTGCGAGCTCAGCCTATCACGAGGCCGATTCGGACTCGCTGGAAAAAGGCTGGGGGCATGTGAAACAGGAAAATTCACTCTGCCCACACTGACTTGGTCTGAAAGTATGTAAAGCGCTTTGGCATCCTCCTTTTCACAGTCCTAAATTGAGTTTTTGGTCTGGTGTCTAGAGGTCTGATAAAATATCTCCTGCTTTGTGTGTCACTTAGTTTTATAAGTACTGGCAGGGCAGGCAGGGAGTCAGGGCAATCACACAGGGGCCTGAAGTGCAGATGGGCCTGTGGCCACCAGGCCCCTAATATTACTACTGGATGTCTTATAGATAGCTGCAATACCTTAGTAATATCTTCAACCAGAGTCTACATTAGAGAACCACCTTGGTTAAGACATATCAATAGCATATACCCAAGCAAATTGTCTTTTTAATGTTCCTTGTGGCTTATTTTGTATGGGGGCCTCCATTCATTTTTTTTGTCCTGTAAGATCCTAGTTACATCACTTTGTCCCTACAAGTATAAGCAAGGCCTAGTGGTGATGGTCCTTACTGTAGGCCAGGGGTCATTGATTCTGGTCTTATAGGGTCAGAGTCCTACAATCAGGTGTGTTTGAGCAGTAAACTCACCAAATATGGCTTCTCCCCAAATGTAAGACTGGTGCTGTAGATGGTCGGATTTGAGATCAGAGTGTGATACCCCTCATCATTCCCCCTGCAAATACAAAAACCTTTCAGCGTTGATGTGCTGTGGTGCTGTGTTACTGCTAACAGAACGTAAACTCAGGAAGAAACTACATTTATGTACATATATATATATATATATATATATATGTATGTATGAGACACTGCAGGTGTTTGACAACTACATTTGGTGCTTGAAGAGGGATCAGAGGAAGACAATCATCAAGTCAGTTTGTACATTAGAGGAGCTGGCTTGAAGCAATTGCACTGGGGCCTGTAACCCCAAATACTTTCACCAGTTGAATAGCCATGGTAATTAAAAATTTAGGCCAAAGCACTGGTGACAACAGACTGAACTCAAATAGCTTCATAGTGCACTACATAGGCCATTAATCTCTTCTTCATCAAAATAGTGCAGTACAGTTTATTTAATGTGCACTGTTAGGTGTTTATTCAAAATGTAATCCTATCAGAAAAGGTTCTGTGGCACTTTTTTTCTTATTATACTAAACTTAGTATTATTATTTATTTGACATTTTATAGGATACATCTATACACCTCTCCTTACACACCTCTTATTGGTTTGTGTCGGAGGATCCTCTTCGTATGTCTCAGAGTTTTGGGACTCAGTAGTGTAGAGCACCTCCTGTGCGCTAGGTGGCAGTCTAAGCCAGTTAGTATGTAGCTGAACAAAGGTCTGTGATGGTAGGCAGGGGTTTGTGGTTGTGCTGTGGGAGCCTAAAAACCTGAAAGCAGCGATTTACGCGCGAACTTTTAACTGCTTTCCAGCATTAAACGCAGCCTGAGAAACTTGTCACTAGTGAGCTGGATTAGTTTGTGAGTAGCTGGTGTGTCCTACACCACTAAACTGCTTAATGTCCACTTTCAAACATGTGAAGTAGTAATAATGTTAGCTGTAACGTAAACATACCTAACGTTACGCATAGCCAGCCAGCCAGCTAATACTCAGCACGACAGCATTGTGTATAACTCATACCCGTTTTCTGTTTAATGTATTTATTTTGCTCTGTCTTCATTATTAAGCAGTAACTCGCGTGGTGCTGTAGTTACTTGCTCGCCTTGTTGAATTACAGCTTTAGTGTTTTTCTCTCCTTTTAGATCAGTTTAAAGGGCAAGACAAGAAGAGCTCCGACACCCAGTCAACAGTGAGTTCACTCTTTTAAAGAGATAATGTCAGCTGCTCTTTTAGCTGTTTGCTTTGACGATAAAACACAGGAGCATTTAAAGGGGACTTCCACCAATTTTTCAAAATTCCTTTTTAATCCAGTCACTGAGGTGTAAACAAAGTCAGTAAGAGTGGTTTAATGTGAAAAGGTTCATTGTAGAGAAACCAAAGCTACATTTCTTTACAGTGGTGGTAATAGGAGCCAGTGTTCACAGTATCTACAACGAAAATATATCCATTTTATTTAATATCCAGAGCAACCAGTGAACCTACATGTGTCTTCTACGTTTTTACATGTAATGTTCATAATAGTAATAATGGCAACTCTGAAAAAGTACATTTCATTGGGCACTATTTTGCCTTAGGAGACCCTTCTTGTACCTCTCCACAGTGCATATACTTAAACATTATAGAAACATTTCTTGCAAAATTGTCACAAAACATGTTTCAGGCAACAGGCAACTTATTTGTAAACATTTTATGTTACAGCTTTAGGTGAGACAGCTTTTAGAGGACTTTAGACAATTTAGCCACTGTGACTCCATAAATTTGTCTAGAACTGAGTATTTCTTAGACCTTTCTGAATGTTGTTGTTTACATCTTAATCAGTGAATTGTGCTAAATTTTTGGAAAATAGGTGGATTTAACCTTGATGGGAAAATGTATGCTTACTCTGGCTTGACTATACCAACTGCTGAGCTGGTCAGTCTATAGACAGAATGCTCCTCCATATGTAGTATAGAGCTCAGCTGTAGCTCAGTCTGTCAGAGCTGGTGTAAAATGTCAAGTTTGTCTGGCAGTGTAGCGCAGTTAAAACTGGCCAAGGTGTCTACACCTGTTACTTGAATCGTTCTCAAGAGGTCTTTTATTGTTGTGCTGAGCAACAAGCTCCAATATCTCAGGCATCGACCACTTATACATGCCAGGACAATGAGTAGTAACTATATAGTTAATCACTTGCAAAAAGTATTTTCATTCTAAACCAAAAATACTTTTAATGTTACAGTGGCATACAGACGAGAGCGGAGCATCAGGGAGATCTATGAAGAACGAGTTAACGGAAGATCAGTAAGCTCCACAAACTTTTACAGCTTCTTCCATCATCTTATAACAGCACGCATTTATTTCAGCTGGCTGTGCTCTTTATAGATCCCTCAGTTTGGTGTCTAATTGTGAGTTCTGCATAGACTAAAATCCTAATTTTATTTGCTTTATTCTTGGATACTTGGAGAGCCAGCGCATTGATATGCAGATCCTTCGTGTAGGCCAAAATTAATTTATCAATCTTGGCATTTTTTGTTAGATAAATGATTTGGTAACACTTATAACAAGGTTAATTATTCTCTTATCCATTCTTATGCCTAAAGGAGTCAATCATTGTTTCTGTATCACAGCTTCATTCATTCTAAAATGAATTCAAAGGTACCTTGTCATAGAAAAAAGAACAATTGAGTAATAAATTCAGCTTTTTCTAAATTCTACATTGTGCACTTTTTTAGACTTTAGGGTGATGTTGCTTTTTCTGTTGTTCTTTCAGCAGCAGGCACCTTATCAGAGAACGGTGAGCCTTGTGGATAGGCGGCCTGCCCACAGCTGGACAGAGGAAGACTATGACCGAGAGGCTGACTATGACCACGGTCGTGGACGAGGAGGATACCATGGGGATGATCAGAGAGGCTATTATGGGGAGAGAGAGCAGTATGGTGGAGAAAAAAGAGGTGGACCACCTTATAGAAGGGTAGGAAAACATTTCACAGTATTTGTGAAATGCATTGGTGTTGTGCTAATTAATTGGATGTATGTCCAATTATCCAATTTAGATTTAAATACAGCTGTGTTTGACTGTTTCAGGTGCCGAAATTCAGTTTGGAATACCACAGTTGAATGTTGTAAGGTTTTTCCAGTATTGTGTTAATTAAGCCTTTATTGTTGAATGCAAATGAGAAACAAAACCCCATTAGACGAAAATCAGCTGGAGTGATGTTGTACCTAAAGTTTTTCCAGAATAATTAGTGATATGCCTTGAGAAAAGTCAAAGGCAAACCTGGTTAACCCCTATCAGCATGTAGCTCAGGATTACACTTAAATATTATGTTCACTATAAAATAAATAATGGAAAAACAACACTTTTAGTAAGGACTGAGTTGAAATACAGCAAACCCATCCTTTAATCAGTGTCTGTGCTTGTAAATCGGATACAGTGGCCACTATTTGTCAAAGATGTGTGCTACAAAATATCATTGTAAAATGGGTGTATGTAAATTTCACTGACCATTTTGTTAGTTAAATTTCATTTTTGGTGTATTTTTATGATCAAACTCAAGTCTAGTCTAAATGCATGTAATTTAGAGCACTGTAGTTTAGCAACTTGAAAAGTAGACAAATACTGTTCAGGGGATCAGGGGCCAAATTCACAAAAGCTTTCCTAAGAAAAAAAAATTGTCGTAAGACAAACAATAAGAAGTTCATAAGAATGTTCTTGAATGCAGTTCTTGAAAAAGTTCTCTCAAGAAAGTCTTGCTTATTTTCTTAAGAAAATCGTAGTTGGTGCGTATCTAGGCTATAGGTTATCTGTCGTGGAGATTATAGATATTGATGTTACGTTTTACAGATTACTTGAAATTATGTCATATTTTTGTTAACTGCTTATTTGGTTTAATCACATCAGTGCCTGAGGACAGTAAAATGATGGTGAAACAACATCAAGCTTGACAACCGGAAGTGATAGTAGAGGAAATGGCCAAGAGGAAAAAAAATCCTCCTTGGTTTATTTGAACAACTATATTTTGCAAAATTCATTAGGAATTACAGTTTAAAAGGTTTACTGTGTCTTTCTTACGGCTTTTGGAATAATAATAATTTGTGTTTTTTATTAAGTATGTAATGAAGAAAAAAAGGCACTTAAAATATGATTTTCTTTAAGACACATTTGTGAATCCTGCCCCAGATATTCAATCTTGGCAGATTTAGCAGCCCTAGAAGACCTTGTCTGTGCTGCATTTAAACACGAAGTAGTAACAAGTAGCCTATTCCATGACTGGACAGACTGTTTTCTGGAGGATAAAGGTGGTGTTTAAGTTTTGTGATGGAGTCCATGAATGTTAGCTTTTATTTGCATGCTCACTCATATAAACAAATGCTGTAACTAATAATGTAAAACTTCTTGTAGGCCATATTGCATTTGTTTTATACTGCTTATTCAACAAATACCTACCACCCAAAAAAGAATACTTACCCAGTGTAGTAGAAGCTGACTTTTCGTATAATAATATAGTCCAAGCAGAGTGTTTTAGGAAAGTAATGATACTACACAGTCACAGAATTCTGTCATTTTAGAAATGAGACAATAAAAATAAGGTGTTCTATTCTTTTTGAATCTACTGTATAAGCTCTATTGCTTTCCCTCATCTGCTTGAATTACGATGTATTTTATGTAAATAATAAGTATATAAGAGCAGTTGGCGCGTGCCATTTACAAGTGATATTTTAATGAGGAAGTTGTACATGGGCATGATTTTCTATGCACAGAAACTGATTAATTTCATGAATCATATGTGGAGTAGGTTGTATGTTGTTCTGCACACTTTAAATTTCTATTTGTTTCTATATAACTTCGATAAACAAGAGCATATGTGTTTTATTATAAACATGCTTGAAAGGACTGCCTAATCTCGGCAAAATTGTGCTTTTTACTGCTGATTCACTGCTCTGTCCCAGTAAATACTCTACTTCCGTATTGTAAAGATGGTGAACCCATACTAGTTTGATTTTTTTTTTTGGATGCCGATTTTGAACCATTTCTCAGCAGATGCTGGGCCCGGATTAAAATTGTCTTCTACAAATTAAAAAGTCTTACTAACAAGATATGCTGCTGAAACAAACCAGAGTTTTTGGTTAAATTGCATGATAAACTAAAAAGTCGTCTTTTCACAGTGAATGCATTTCAAAAAACTGATGCAACTTCCATCAAGTGACTGGGTTAACTGCTATAAAAATAAAAAAAAACTGCTTACCATGTGTCCGTAGAAATAAAGCATAAATGACTATATGCCATTATAAATTTGATTTAAATAACCCTTTTGTAATTGTCCCACCTATACCAGTCATGCTATGTTTACATTTCCTTATGCAGGCGGATCCATATTTCTACTACAGAGGGTCTGCAGAAGAGCCCCCAGCAGCAAGACAGGCTGAGCTCAGGTAAAATCTTAAAACACTTAACTACACCTAGCTTATTGCCGGTAAATTGGCAGTTTTGTATCATACTAGCATGAACAACAGACACAGTGTATTGTGTACTCTGCCTGGGAGAGGGTTACCAGGACCTACCCCTGGAGCAAGGCCTGGGGATAGTGTTCTTTGACGAATGCCTGGTGACCTGGCAGCCCATGTAACCCGGCCGTGTTCAGCCTAAAAAGGCAACGTGGAGGGACCATGTGGGCCCACCACCCGCAGGGTTCAGTGTGTGAGACAGGTGCAGTGTACCAGGGCTTGTGCGACAGGTTGAGAGGTACCAGTTAGATATAGTTCGGCTCACCTCCGTTCACAGTATCGGCTCTGGAACCAAACTCTTTGATAGGGGTTGGTCCCTCTCCTACTCAGAAGTTGCACATGGTAAGAGGTGCTGGGCGGGTGTGGGGATACTCACAGGCCCCCAGCTGGCTGCCGTGCAGTTGGAGTTTGTCCTGGAGGACGAGAGTGTTGCCTCAGTGTCTCATCTACAGATTTCATAGGTTTGCTGGGAGATTTCAGTGCTCGATGCGACAATGACTGGGAAAGCTTTAGGAAGAGTTTAAGGATCTCAGGGTCTTGCTCACAAGTCATAGGATGGTGGATCGTGAGATTGGCCACAGGCTGGGACAGGCGGCAGCAGTAAAATGGTCAATATACTGGACTGTAGTGGTGAAGAGGGAGCTGAGCCATAAGGCAAAGCTCTCTGATTACTGGGCAGTCTACATCCCCACCCTCACCTATGGTCATGAGCTTTAGGTAATGACCAAAAGAATGAGATCACAGATACAAACAGCAGAAATGAGCTTTCTTTGCAGGGTGGCGGACTACACTCTGTTTGACATGGTGAGCAGCTCAGTCATCCAGGAGGAGCTCAGAGTAGAGCCGCTACTTCTCTACATTTAGAGGAGCCAGTTGAGGTGGTTCAGGCATCTGATTGGGTGCCCCCTGGCCACCTCCTGTTAGAGGTTTACCAGGCACGGCCGACTGGGACGAGACCCTGAGGTTGTTCCAGGATCCACTGGAGGGATTATATCTCCAAGTTGGCTCAGGATTCCCCAGAATGAGCTGGAGAAGTTGTGAAGGACAGGGTTGCCAGGGCTTCTCTGCTTTCCCTATTGCAACCGCGCCCCATCTGAATCAAGTGGGTTGAGAAGATGAAGATAAAGAAGTGTTGTACTACCCATTGTCTACAAACTTGATTTAAAAAAAGATAGGACAGTAGGCAAAAAATGAATGAAAACAGACAGCAATGATTTGCAAATTTTCAGTTGAAAACAGTACAAAGACAACATATTGAATGTTTTAACTACAGTGTGTTCAGAATTATTATGTAAGTGCCAGTTGTCTTACTGTGAAATACTGGAAAGTTAATTTTGCCAGTAAAAGTAACCCTTTATGTTTTGATATTTTTGCCTGAGTATAGTCACCATTTAGTGAATTCTTTATGTTAATTTACAAAACTCAAGGTCAACAAAAAAAAACACTATTCACAATTATTATGCCAGACAATGCATAACAAAAATAGTGTCAACTACATGTGGAAATTGGCAAGATTTGTTGTGTTTTTGCTGGTACTGTTTGGAAAGCCACTAATTGCCATCCAGAGAGCATTTTTGGACTGGTACTGATGTCCACCTGAATGAACTTGCTGCTTCAGAATTGCTCAGAAATTTTCAATAGGTCTTAAGTTGGGTGAGGAAGCACACGAGTATAGTGGGAAGCATGAGATGAGGTGTTGTCTTGTGTGTACATGAGCGTTTTCATTATTCCTGCACTACAACCCTTCCACCATGGCAAGAACTGTTGCTTCAAAAAGGTACAGTACCTCTCTGAGTCAGTTTCACTCCATCTTGAACACAATAAGGGCCAGTAAGTTCATCATCGTTGACACCGGCCCAGAACCTGACACCGACTTCGCTTTATTGATGTCGGTGTTGCACTGGAGCAGAATGGCCATTCATGACTCAGCCCATAGCCCATCCATCTGATCCATCTGATATTGCACAGCACTCATCAGTAAACAGTACCTTTAAGAAGTTAGTCTTCATTTATTTTCTAATCTAAATTTATCCTTTTTTCTTTGTTTTTTGTTAACCGGGTGCATTGTTTTCATCTTGGACACTTGCTGTATTGTTCAAAACTTACAGCGAGTTGTTTTCTTTATTTCTCTCGATGCACAGACTATTATTTACAGACTATATTTTCTTGCTGGTTGCCATAGGTGTTTTTGCAGCTTGTCTTTTGACTCTTCTGAGATCCCGAGCTTTCGAAACTTGCATTCCACACGTTTCTTATGACCACCTTTACTATTCTGCAGACACCTCTTCTGCAGACACATAGCACAGTACTACTATTCTATTTACTATTCTGCAGACACCTCTTCTGCAGACACATAGCACAGTAAAGAGGTACCTCTCTTGAGGTACCTCTTTACTGTGCTCAACACCTCAACACTGGAAATATCCAAGTTAATTCAGTGTGATCATAGCACAGTAAAGAGGTACCTCACTAGAGGTACCTCTTTACTGTGCTATGATCACACTGAATTAACTTGGATATTTCCAGTGTTGAGGTGTTTTCAGATACAGCTTTCACTTCTGTACATCTTCTTCTTTTCCTCTCCCATTTGCCCAGGGACGTCCCTGAAAAAGACGTTGAGTAGGTGGCAGCATGTGTTGCTCCAAAATGCATATGTACCCCTCAGCTTTAATAGTGCCTTCACAGGTGTAAAAATTACCCATGCCTTTGGCACCAACACACCCCTATATCATGACAGCCACTGGATTTTGATCTTCGTGTAGGTAACAATCCTTTTTCTCTTTGGCGCGGAGAACACAACATCCATTATTATCAGAAACAATTTCTACTTTCCAATGTGCATCAGTCCATCTCAGGTGAGCTTTAGTCCAGAGAAGTCGGCAGCATTTCTGGGTGATGTTGATATGTCTTCCGCTTCGTGTAGTAGAGTCTTAACATGCATTTGCAGACGCAGCGATGAATTATGTTTACTGACGAGGGTTTTCTGAAGAATTTTCAAGCACATGTGGTTTTCATAACAAAAGCATGAGGATTTTTAATGCAGTGCCATCTGAGGGATTGAAGGTCACAGGCATTCATTGTCATTTTTTTGGCCTTGCCCTTTACACTCAGATTTCTCTGGGTTCTCTGAATCTTTTCTTAATGTTATGGACTGTAGATGTAGGTGAAATTCCTAAATTCCTCACAATTGTGCATTGAGAAACATTGTTCTTAAAGTGTTGTACAATGCACTCACACACTTTTCACAAAGTGGTAACTGAGCCTTTCGTGAATGCTCCTTTTATGTCAGGTCACGATAGCATCAACTGTTATGTGTCCTCCTGTTTACCTGTGGAAAGTTCTAATCATTTTTGATCATGCCGCAAACTTCCCAGTCTTTTGCTGTCTCTGTCTTAACTTTTTTGCAATGTGTTGCAGGCCTCATATTTGGAATTAACATGTATTTACAAAAATTCATGAAGTTGTAAAATAAAGTAAAATATTAAACATGTTCTTTGTTCTATTTTGAATTACATACCTGCAGAGGACAGTTTACAAATCACTTCTTTCTATTTTTATTTGCATTTTAACTACCGTCCCAACTTGGAACAGGGTTTGTATTACCATGAGTGCCAATAATTGTGAATATAGATTGAGAAATAACTTCATGATGCAACATGGAATAAGAAGATATTTTTCTGGTAATTTCTGGCAACCCTAGGCCAGACCAATCAGATTTATGGGTGGTACCGCTGATGAAGAGATTTAAACAGGAGACACAGAAAAATAAACAAAAACAAAGAAAGACAAAAAGAAAGAGGAACAGAGAAAAACACTGACAATCAATTACAGATTATATAACACCAGAATTGTCATTGTTAGCACAATTAGTGACAGCAAAAAATGAAAGGTATATCTTTAAAAGCAACTGACTTTCAAGGCTTCTTTTGTGATGTAGAACATCTTTGATCTCCTCTTAACTGGTTTTAGCAAAAGCTTGACTCATTGTTGAATCAGCTTGTTCATTGCTGACACCAACATATGCCCAAACATACGCTAATGGGGCGTTGTCAGACTTGGTCCATTGAGTGGAATGAAAAGTGAAAGACAAAGCAATCTTCTGAAATCTGTGACATGAGAATAGATAAAAGTTGCTTCCAATTTTAAAACCACTCACACATTTGTTTGTGTGCCTTTTTTTTTTTGCATGCCATAATTTTATTGCTTTTTTGGCCAGCAGCATTAAACCAACAGAGTAGAACGAGTGAAAAAAGATTTTGCTCTCCCTGCTGCTGTAGTGATTGTACATAGTGTGCCTTTTTTCACAGGGTGTAGCTGCTGTAGCCCAGCAGGGGGCAGTATAGTACTTTTTGATCCTGCGTGATTTGTTAGGGCTTTGAGCCTCCTGGGCCCCTGAAATGCGTTAGAGGCATCATTTAAACTTTGTGTGTCTTTTTGTATAGCAAGTGTTTTTGCATAATGGGTGGTATAAATCAGTGTAACAGTTGTTATAACCAACTCTGTGTGCCTTGCTGCCCTTTCAGGCAAACGCTTTGATTTGTTTTCAGTCTCTTTAATGCACACCCGATCTGCAAATGACATTTATAAAAGAGTGTGCGGTGTATATTAGAAAGTCACAGGTGCATTATCAGGCAATCTAACTCGTTGTAACTGAAGTCAGACCCCACACATCGCACAACACTTGATCCCCTTACCCAGCATAGTCTAGTCATCTGATCCCACCAATGTCTGTTAATTTTTTTTTTTTTTAAGTCTAACAGGGTGCCAGCAGTTCATTGGCATGGTCTCCAACTCCCTCCCTCATTTTGCCCCATGTTATTCCCAGTGGAGGCCCACCAGACACCAGGCTTAGGACAAAGGGCACTACTGTCTGCTCCTGGAGCCAAAATGTTAAGCCCCTGTGAGGTCCAGCAAAGCCAGCTGGGGAC